GTTCTGGCGAGCTGCCGTATAAGCCCTGCCGACAGTGTCCAGCACTCTGACCCATACAGGAGAACGGGCACAATGCAAGCTTTGAACAGTCGAGCCTTAGTGGCTCGCGAAATCTGGCGAGATCTCCACACGTGTGTGAGTTGTCCAAAGGCAGCGTTCGCTTGCCCGATGCGGCTGCTGACATCCAAGGATGTGCCAAGAGTGTAGTCTATGCCTAGCCATCCACCCAAGTACTTAAAGCAACCCGTCTTAGGGAGAGCAATCCCATTAGCATACAGGACCCTGGTGCCCGGCAGAGGCGCTGCATCATCTGCCGCGAAGGCGGGCAAACCAAGGCCCTGGATGGGTGAAGAGAGCGACGGAATCTCCATCCACTCTGTCTTCACCTTATTGAGCTCGGCGCCCCAGTCACGAAGACAATCATCAAGGATGCTCACCATTCGAGAAAACCTGTCCCAGTCTGTGTCAAAGATCAGGCTATCATCAGCGTAGGTGGCTCCATGAAGTTGTACTGTTGTGTACGCCGCCCTGCGAACCTTAGAAGGGATACGAAAGATGGCATCTCTGTTAGTCACCCATGGAACTCCCACAGGATCAGGGAAACGAGCTGCACATCGGGTTCGAAAATCCTTTAAAAGCAGGGAGTAGTATAACAAGTACAAAGTGGGCCCCTCAACGGAGCCCTGTCTCACACCGGTGCTCATGTTGATCGGTGGACCGACATGGCCCGAGTGGCAGTGAGAAGTAGTCATGCCCTCGTGAAGACTGCGAAGCATGCCAATGACGTGTGAAGGAAGATGAAGGCAGCGACTCAGCAGAGAAAACATCTCTTCCCTGGGCACAGCGTCAAAAGCTTTCTTCAAATCGATGAATAGTAGATACAACGCATCTGGAGCGCCTGCAGCATCGGGGTTGCTGAATCTCCAAGATTCGATGACGCGTCTGGCACAGAAGACGGCGTCCGTCACTCCGCGCCCTCGGCGGTAGCCCAGTTCTGTCTCATCCGCGACTTGCTCAACAACTGCGACAAGCTTGTTATTAAGAAGGCGGCTTACCAGCTTAGACACAATATCCAAACTCACAACGCCCCTGAAATTCTCCAAGGTCTCGACCCCTCCTTTACCCTTGTAAAGGACAAACAGTAGGGACTCGTGCCACTTGCGCAAGTCCTCGTCCGGTGTCCGTCCATTCCAAAAGTCACAGACCAGACTGTGAACTGCAGTCAGAATGAGGCGGTCCTGGGCACAGGAGGGATCTAGACACTTCAACATTTCGGCTTGCACTCCTGATGAATCGGTGGTCTTACCAGTTGCAAGAGAGCGAATGGCAGTACACATTTCATCGAAGGACGGGGGGTCCCAGTGAGATGCTTCGAGATTTATGTCAACAGCTGGCACAGCTGCCATGGTCGCGGCGCTGACAGGCCTAGCTACGTTTAGAACCCTAGTAAAGTGTTCCGTAACCTCCTCAGTGGTGTGGGTACTCCCTAACGACGACACGAAGAGGCCACGCCCCTTGGCGAGACGTCCCAAGCGTCTGGCGTCGTCGAAAAGCTGGTAGGCCTGGCGGCTCCTGACGGCGCCCTCCAAGCGTTGGCACTGCTGCTGCCACCACTGTGTCTTGAAGCGTCGAACCTCAGCACGGTTGGCGGAGCGAGCCTGCTGCAGGGCCTGTAGAAGGGCAGGGTTGGTGGGGTCGGCGCGCCAACTCGTGAAGGCCGCCTGACGCCGTTGGGCTAAAAGCGCAAGTTGGTCAGTATGCCCAGCACGCCAGTCCGAGGCGGAGGTGGCAGTGGGACGCAGCGTAGACTCAGCGGCTTGTCGCAACATAGTCGGCAACGAGACAAAAGTCAGAGGTTCCTGCAGCTCCGTGAACCGCGCATGAAGCTCAGAGGAGAATGTCCGCGAGACGCGAGGGTCCTGCAAACTGCGCACATCCAAGCGTGCAGGTCTCGAAGTGCCAGGGGTCACAGGTCCAAAGTTCGAACTGACAGAGGCAGTGACTGAGCGACGAGGGCAGGCTCGCAGGCGCAGAACCATAAGTTTGTGATCGCTCTCCACCTCCGCGCCTGGTAAAGCATGCGTATCAAGGACAAAAGGAAAGTCGGCCTGGCGCCCAACTGCCAGGTCTATAAGACCTGGGGTGCGCCAACGTCTGTGGAGCCAGCTAGATGTATGGGCAAGGTCATGTTGGAAGAAAGTGTTTAAAACCATTAAACTTCTGGAGCTACACAGCTCGAGCAGCGACGAGCCGTTGGAATTACGGGGCCCTACACCGTTAAACCCAAGAACTCGAGGTGGCGTGTCGGGACCTCCAGCACGGGAGCGGTAACCCACCCGGGCATTATAGTCCCCTACTGCAAAGGCGACTTCCCTGTTAGGGATCGAAGCCCAAAAGCTCGACAGCGAAGAGTAAAAGGCGTCCTTGACCGATTCGTCGCATTGCATGGTCGGCCCGTAAACCGAGGCCAAGTGCCAAACGCCCTCGGAACCACCTAAACCAAAAGTAGCATGCAGAAGGCGCCCTCCCGGCCACGCCTTGCATTTGGAGCCCGCAGCTCGCCACGCAATGACAGCAGGAGGTGATAAGAGAAGGCCGACGCCTCCCTGCGAACCATCTCCTTGGGATCCCGCGAAGAGCACGACGAAACCGTCTCCCACGGCCACCTGGCCAGATCCTGGCAGGCGCACTTCACTAAGGGCAAGTGCATAAAGATGGTGATCACGCATGCGGTGCTTTAGCACTTCAAGCTCAGTATCTCCCACAGAGGAAACAGAGCCATCACTGTGGATATCGAAGCTGTGTCGTAGGGTGCAAACATTAAGAAAACCAATATTGCATCTGGAGTAAAGGTGCCTATCAGACACTCCGGGCTGGCGATTGCGATTCCGCCCCGCGTATGATCGGAACGTCATTAGTGGACCCGCGCCGCCCCGAATGTAGTTCGAATGTTGTGTAAGGCTGAGCATTGTGGCAACAAGTGCATATCAGGAGCATGGCTAGGCTGCAAACACTAGCCCACTCGTCACCGCAGAGGTCTCAAATGCGAGCCGTCAGAGGACGGCTAGTGGCCTAAGAGGGCGCCCTGCAGTCGCACCCGCCATTAGCCGGCTGGAAACGCGTGCAATGCACAGTGATCTTCACGAAAGGTGCCAGCCGTTCACCCCCCCGCCACGTTGAGGCCGGCGGTATGACTTGGGGGGGGGTTACAGCGACGATGAGGGCACTTTCTTCCATGCATCAATCGCTCCGAGTCCGGCAGCGATCTTCCCGGAGGGTCATTGGCGGAGATCGAGCGGTTCCATTGGCGGCATGCTGCAAGGCGTGAAGGATGCAGGCATTCCAAGTTGAAACCAGCCAAGCCACCACTACTTTGGTGGTCAACATGAATGTTGACACGGTTTCGAAGCAGTGCCGAATGCTTTTGCTTCGAGATGTGTTTGGCGGTTTGCGTCCTCCAGACTTGCCGAGGAGTGCTCTCAGTTCAGGGCATCAGTGGCTAAAGGCCTGGATGCAGGCATGTGCCAGCTGCCACGGTTCATGCTCCAACATCTGAGTGCCTGCAGACCCTGTGCCTTTTCGACGAGATTCGCAGAGATCCACAAGGCTCGCAGAGAGACGGTGTGTCGCGCCTATGCCTTCTCGAGAGTCCATACGCAGCCCTCTGAGCGCGCTAGCGATTCGCAGGTTCATTGCTGAAGGCTGACGTGATTTCGTTACCTGGCTTACACAAGTTCTTGAGTCTAGACTCAGACGTAAATGAAGGCACGCGGCAGGGTGGGTTGCGATGTGTACTTTCCAGGTACAGCAATGCCATTCGGGCCAACTCCGCCTTGCTGCTGTGGGAGGAGGCGCCGGCTCATTCGGCTACTGATGCTGCTCGGATGTCACCCTGGGCAGGCTGTGTATCTGCTGACGCACATGATCTCTTTCGGACCTGAGCCGGATCGGCTGGCGCGGCGCAGCTGCAGAGCATGGTGATGCCTGGTGAACGCAGGGAGCTCAACAGCTTCGCAGCTGAGGTGCAACCTGACCCTCGCTGCATGTGCCGAGCATGGCAAAGCGGATCTCGCTGCCGGGATCGTGGCAACTTTGGTGCATTTGATACCTTGGAGCCAGAGCCGGAACTGCCATAGTTCTGCCTCAAGAGCCTCTGGCATCCCATGGTTTGTACCCTTCAGAAGCACTTCGCACACACGAGGCTATGCAGGAAAGGCCGGGCTGTTGGTCGCGCCCTAGGGCAGCAGAAGGACATACATCCATGGCACATCATGCCAAGGAACGGATGAGGACACGTCGTCAGCAGCTTGATGCCCCTTGGTGCTATCATCGAGTCAAGACATGTCAGAATGTCCAAGCTTCTTCATTCTTGACTGAGGTTGTTGCCCACAACACCCTCCTCGCAGCTCTTGCTCGCCAACGGAGATGGCAGTCGGCCATCGCTGCGGCCATGGCAGCGCCCACCCAGGACAAATGCAGAAGACATGCACATACAGTTTCGCAGACAACATTTTCATTCAGCCACACTTATCCATAAAGAACCCACACTTTCCACGGCAACCCGTACATACTCAGACTCTCTTTCGCTGTTTGTGTCTCTCTGTTTTTGTTTCAGTAGGTCTTTTGGTACTCGTAGCTCGTTTTGCAGGCAACGAGCACCTCATGATCACACGTTACTGACCAGCCGAACGCTCGGAGCACGCACGCAGAAGTCTGCCACAGTTGTGGCGTGCGGACACACGCTCAGATTGGGGCCATGTTGGAGATCTCATCATTGAGAAGGAGAGTTCAGGGGTTTAGCTTTGGCTGTCAGGACCTCATCACCTTCAATTCATTGCTGGGCACCTTGACTGCAAGGTATTGTCTGAATCTCAGTGTGGGAGCCCCCTTGCTGTCAGGAAGCCTTGAAGATTCTGATCGCTGGGAAGTCGCTCTCGAAGTTCTCCGCCAGATGAGCTTGCGAGGCGTCCACGTCCGTCTGTATCCGTGTCTTTAGGCATCTCATCACACGAACTGTGAGCGGCTTCTTTATGCCAACTTGGTACCTTGACGTGCCTTGACTTGCCCGGAGGCCTCCGTTTGGACGGCGTGACGTGCCTCGGCTTCGGCTTCGCCCGGCTTAGGAGCAGATAGCGTTTGGAGCCCTGCTTTCGCACCTGCCTTGGAAAAGCTCCCAGGCTTCGCGCCGCAGCGGCGGCCTGCAGGCAACGCTGGCAGGCGCCTCACAGGAGTACTGTACCTGACGAGTACCTGTCTCTGCTAAGACATGGCCCATGCCAATCCTACAGGCAGCACTGGCACTAATGAAGATGTCGGAGGCTCGCCGGCTGTGGAAGCAACACTTTGCAGACGTGTGGAATGGGGCAGGTTGCTACTGACCTTGCAACCCTCACAGTGCCTGGGCCCACACAGTGACACAGTTTCCAGCCATTGTCATGAAACGGCGTTGTGGGAGACCTCTTGCCTCCACCGATGGTCACACTTCGCATGATACCTGGTTCTGGTTCAGATCTGATCAAGCTTGCAGCTGAGGCGGTCGGCACCAGTTGCGAGAAGGCTTGTGGTTTTTGGGCATGCTGTGAAAGTGGCAACCGGTCAGAAGTCTAACGTGCTTTCAGTGTGATGGTAACGGCTTCCTGCTTCAAGATACCAGCAGCGACTGCAGAGCCGCGGCATACAGGATCATTTCGGCTTCGTCAGCTCCCATCGTAGCCTCCATGTTTCCCAAGAGTCCGAGAGGAAGTGTGCAGCCTTCACAGGCAAGTCAGTGGCAACTTGCACTGCACCTGTTGGCCGATCGCGCCTTAGACACTGCTGGAACCTGAGCTTTGTTGCTTCTAGGTGCTTGCCGCATCGAGACATCGGTTCTTTTTGTCTCACGGGCATGTTCTGGGTATAAGGTGGCCAAGACCACCCTCATCTCTGCGAGTGCGACAGGTTCACTGTGGCAGGCTGCTGTGGAGGCCGCAGCGTGAAGCAACGTGAACATGCTTGGGCCTCCTTGGACTCGACTCTTCTCACAGCCTTCTCGCCCGAGACCAGGCTCTGAGGCCCCACCCGAATGCTGTCAGATGCTTCTCGAGCTGAAGCAGAGAGCTGATGCAGTGGTCGCTTGTCGGACAAGAATCAATGCTGGATGTGGTTCTGCACTTTTGAACATACTGAGTGAAGTACTTTTTGAACATAAAAATCAAGCTGATTGGTGACATTCGGTTGACATAAGCTATGTCACAGAAGCCCCTGCCAATGGCGGTATATTTGAAACCCACGTGTCTGCAGCAATTGTCAGAGTCGCATTTGGCCTGTGCCCCTCATGACATCGCAACATCAGATAAGTTAGAGATGTGTGTTTTGTATCAGACAACGTGACAACATCTTCATTGATCTAAAGGCCTTTGTGGGAAGTTGTGTAAGACGGACCTCGGGGATAGAAAGATATGCCTTCCTTTGTGTTGTGCTTTTCTTGGCGGGGATTTCGCAGTTGATATGTGTTACCATGGAGCATCCTTGCATGCCTGTACCAGGTAGTCTGGTGCTCGTAGAATACGATACAATTCAGCACTGGCGAGTCCACTCCAACATCACGAAGTGAAGGCGGCATCTGGTATTCCGACTAGATGACCAACGTCCAAGAATCAAGCAGCCCTTCAAATTTGCTTTTGAAACAGGTCACCCAGTCCTCCTCCACAGGCAAGCTCAACAGCAGCTGGACAGTTGGACATGCCAAGAAGCGTGCAAACAACATCTGGCGGAAGAAACCCACGATAGACTTCGGGTTTGGAGGGTCATAGTTTCCAGACTGCAACACCCATGAACAGCCTCCGCAGAGAGTCACTGCTGCTCTACTCGCTCGCCACCAAGGCCTACAATGCCACCATTGCAGCCACTGAGAAGGCCCTGCATGCCGTGAGAAAGCTTCCTCTGCGTGGAACGCTTCTTGAGTCTTGGAGCAGGCTGCCAGATGGTCCATCTCCTTGATGCTGATGTCGAAAATGGAGGAGGCAACTACTCTGATGCTAGCTCAATCTAGCCTAGTTTCCTCCTTCCTAGCTGGGCTGTCAGCTACTCGTATCCGTTGCGATCTACTGCGCAGCAGAAACTGCGCTAACTCGGCAGGCCTTCTTGCAGCCGTCGGCTACGACGTTCAATGCCCCCGGGAAAGGGTTATTTAAAGTTTGTTTGTATGTGAAGGCAAGCATGTGGTGACCACGAGCGACCTTGGCAAGTTCCGTAGGTAGTAAGAGCTGCAGGAAACAAGCACAGACAGCATCAGATCTCACACCTATGAGTCCATGAGGCCAGCATCAGCGCATGTGAGAAGTCAGCTGCCTGGGAGGCAGTGCTGGTTGAGTCGCGCACGTCTCTCTGCGACAAACAGAGCAATTCGCGAGAGATGTGGGAAGACATTGTGCGCGTTTGACCAGGCCTCTTTGCGGCTCTCTGACGAGATGTTGATGCGCAAGTTGACCAAGGATTCTCACTCGCAATGTGAACTGATTGGTTGCTACTCAAGCTCTTGCTGGTTTCCTGACTGAACCTCTTTGGGCTTTCAGCAGCAAGCCTCAAGGACAACACACATCGTGGTTGCAAGTCGTTCTCGAGGTTCTTGCCATCTCAGGCTCCTTTCCATGGTAGGGTTCCTGTCTCCGGGCTGACTGCCCTAATCTAAGTTTCCCGTTTCCGAACCTATTTCTTCAAACTTTGTAAGGGTCACATCAAGGTGTATCCTGTGATTAGGTATGACAACTCTGAGTGGTTTCTATGGGTCCATGAAGTGCCATCATGTCCACCATCGGCTGTACATCTTCCTTCGAAGTGCGATGGAGAGCAGCAGCAACGGCAAACACATGGATACCTGAGTTCCACGACCTCAGTAGCCTTCCGCCTCATTGCTTTAGTTATGTTTTCCTTTCATCGGTTAAACTTACCTTAAGCGGGTTTGTATTGTCTTCAGTCGACTGGTCACGGCCTCGGACGCAACGTGCAGCAAATCAAAAGGTGCAAAGGGTATTTCAGGTGTTTAGCACGGCAGGTGGGGGAAGAGTGGGTCTGTCCAAGTAGTGTCTCGTTCCCGTGTCCTCGGCGAAGTTGGCTCTGGAGAGGACATTGTCACCTTCAGCGCACTGATCTCCAGCGAGTGGCCCAGACGAAGTCGACTCTGTATGGCAGCAGCGTGCAGTGATTCACCAAGGCTGCGAAAAGGGCACCCAGTGGACGCTGGCTTTGCACTTTTTTCGCCTCTGCCGCGCGCATGGTTTTCTGAAAAAGCCAGCGGGAACAGCTCTCTGCCACTGCTGCCCTCGCATGCTGCGTAAACTGGTAGCAAGTCGCAGGCTCCGGCCATCCTTGGGTTCACATTGGGTTCAGGCTTACGGTGTCCAATCCGTGTGCACAAGGTCAGGAAGCCCGGGTTCAGCTTGCCAGTTGCCAGATGTTGCCAGTGTCGACTGTCCGCAGCTGTCTTATCAAAGTTGCTTGCCCCCGGGGGCCGCCCCCGGAGGGCCTCCCGACAGCATGCGATTACGCGAGGCTGGCAGGGGAAGAGACAGAGTCTCCGTGTGCGGTTTGAAAATGCGTGGCTCTCTCGAAGGTGCTGTTCTTGGCCTCGGCCCTTTTCTGTGCATCCGGCAGCCAGGCGCGCCTCACAGGGCCCTGTCAAGCACGCAGTCGCCTCCCTTTTCGATGCCCACCCATCATGAGACCATCATTTTAGAGGTGGCGGTTTGCAGCTAAGCACTGGGATCAGGCGACAGAGGAGCTTCCGCGAGACGATGAGCCTCGGTGCCAGATGTGACCTGGGTTTACTCTGACCCAGACCCCCGGGAGGATCCAAAAAGTAGATCCCTTAAGTAGGTTCCTATAAAGTACCCTTCAGTAGTTAGGGTCCCAAATTAGGGGATCTACTTTTTAGATCCTCCCGGGGGTCTGGGGAGTTCTTCTGATCTTCTCAACGAAAGACGCGCCCCGAGGAGTGTGAATTCGACTCCGAAAGCTGCGCCCTGCAGGCCTGGCCCGAGCTGGGCCCGGGCTGTGTTTCTCTGACTCTTCAGTGACTGTAGTGGTTATGCTAACTGTATATAAGTTATATAGTATATAGTCTGCTATATATACAAGATATGCAATTTAAAACATGATGTAGATCATTATTCTATGCTTCTGTTCCAATTTTTTGGTGCAGGCTCTGCAGAGGCATGCGGCTCGGGCACCTCGGCCCCTTGAGCTGATCCCGACCCCCAGCGTGCGGGGCGAGGGCGCTTACATCTCCAGCAGCCCAGCATGCAACAGCGTCAGGGTTTAGGGGGTTTAAGGGTTTAGGGCACCCCCCCCCCGCGCAAAATTAGTGAGATGAGGGCTCGCTTTCGCAAGGTCGAGAGTCCAAGTCCTTTGAGTGGACGGAGCTCCGGGTCTCTGAGAGCAGCATCGAGGAAGCCTTGAAAGCTCCTTTCGTAGAAAGCAGCTGGCCCATGCCATTCGGCTTGTCAGCCAGCGACGTGGCACGATGGCTGCAGCGAGAGCTGCTGTCTCACAGCCCTTTTGGGCAGTTCGGCATGCTCGTGCCGTGGCCAGAGGAGGACAATGACCAGCTGGGCCACGGCGGCTGGGTCGGTTACTCCCGAAGGCAAGTCTGCTATTTAACTGCGAAGAGCTACCTGGGAGCAAAGGCCCGTGGGTACAACGCCGGACTCTTTCGCCTTATGGACATGTGCCCCCATACGGGGGACTTTAGACACTCCTTTGCGATGCTCTTAGCAGCCTGTGCCCTGGACTGCATTTCAGCTCATCCCTCTACCCTCGCCGCGGTCTGCCAGAGTTGGCATGCACGGCATTGCTTCAGGTGCGGCAGATCCGACTTTGGTGAATGGTAACCAGGGGCCGTTGCTTTTGACGGCCAAAGCTCGTGCGGCCCCTTCAGTGGAGGAGGCCAGTGCCGAAAAGCAGAAGTTGCGCCTGGCTGCGTCTGAGGGCCTGGCCTAACCCCCTGAGGTGCGCCAGAAGGCGGAGGGTGTGTCAATGCAGGCTGCCAAACTGCGCGTCTGTGACTACGACACGGGGGTTCCTTGACTTTTGACATCTCTTGACTACTTGGGTCCTTGGGTCCTTGACCAGACCTGCGAACAGGAGAGCCATGGACAGCATTGCCTACAGATGGCCTAGATGGCGTGAGAGCTAAGGCTGGCACCGACGGCGTCGACTCGGTGCCAGAGCAGGGCTGCAAGAAACGTCGTCAGGATGCTCCAGGCGTAGACTTCATGATCGGCGGGTTGCCGGGCCAGGCGACCCAGGACACAGTGCTAGGCTGTTAGGCCAGTTAGGCCAACAAGTAAAAGTCACGCGGAATTCAGAGGGTGTATATTCAGTTGAATTGGAGTCAGAAACGTCATAATCTTTGGCTGGAATCTGAGCGCCAGGACATCTCCGCATCTTGGTTCGGAGGCTACTTGTTCGACGCAAAGGCCTGTGGCCTTGGTGGTGGACAGGACGAGCGCTTGTCAGTCTACTTCCCCGAGGTCACAATTCTTGCATATTTTCTTTCGCAGAGCGACCCATTCCCTCAGCTTCGCCAGCCCGCATGGTTCTTGGGAGCACGGAACTTCTTCAAGAACTTAGATGGCACAGCGCGCTTTGACTCGCCCATGGTCTTGGCAGACGTGCCCCTGAAGTCCGACCTCGTTGATGTTTCTGTGGCGGATCACCTCTTCGAGATCAGCTCTTCAAGGCCTGTCGTCGTCTTTATGAGCGAGAGCCAGGGCTTGGTCGACGACCACTCGCCTTTTGAATTGAAGCTGGCCCGCCTGAACCGCTTACAAGCGCAAAGGGAGATGGGCACCGGCCAGTTTGCATTCGAGAAGCAGGCGCATCCTGCCGTGTCCTACAGTGCTCGCTGTGGTTTATTCCGTCGGTATTCTGTGGCTTTCGTACAGCCACGATCAGCTTGATGGTGTTCTTGAATGCTACAGTATTGCCTACTCGTCTGTTGAACTCTGCGCAGGTTCGTGCGTGGTATCGGTCTTTAGCGCTGACTTCGTACGATGTGGCTTGTCAGCATGTTGGACATTTCAGGGTGTGCTGTCTGTTACCAGCATGACCATCACGGGTTATTATCGTCCTGTCCAGCATTCCTCTCATTGTGAGATTGCGGCATTGTCGCCGCCATTGCCGCATCATAGCTGTCCGTACTCAAAAGATGCCTGCAGTCAGCATGATTATCAAAGCATTTGGGTGTCAGCTTTGTTTTGGTCGAAGCCGCAATCGTGATGCGCTGTCGCCCCACTCCCGCTTCTACAAGGTGTGCGTGGCTCGCAGCCTTCGTATTGAAGATGTGCAGGGGACTAGAGACAGCTGATTTGACCACGCGCCACGACGCGATGAACGGTAGTGGAAGCAAGGAGACCCAATGCCGAAGTCCGAAGCGCCTCCGAACTTCGCGTTAGCTTGCCGCCTTCCACGACCTCGCGCAACATTGGAACAAGGGGGTACAACAAAGCAGCCTGCCTCTACTCAGCGGGAGTCGTACAGTCCCTTTGACTTGTTCAACGCACATCAAAATCAGCCTTGCCAAAGCGAGCAAACACGGACATACGTGCCTTCAGCATGCATTGACTTGCTTTCAGGGTTGTCTCCTTGCACATGAGGAATTGAATCCTTCTGCTGGTTTCTGTTGTGAAGTGTTGGCATGCTTCCAGCGGGAATAGACGAGATTGATCACCGCGATTGTGCGTCTCTTATGGAGACCCCAAGGAGCGGATACACGGGGCCTTGCGTGCCCTTGTGAAGTCCGTTGGGACTGGGCCATGGTTCTCTGGCCTTTGGTGGGGCGATTCACAGCTCCCTGGAAGGAGTTCATGCTGGATCTTGATTCGGCCTTGGTTCTGCTCCTAGTTAAAGCTGGTTCGACGATGATTATAGGAATTGAAGGCGGGCCCGCGCGCGTACGCCACACAGTTCTGACAGAGCTTACACCCACGACTGCATATCGCACAGTCAGCACCAGGGCAAAAAGACAGGTGGAACCTCGCACTTGCCAATCCATGGAAACCTCTGCTAGATTCTCGTGATGAATTAGTTGCACGAGATTGACTGCTTCCTCTTGCCGGAAGGAAGCAAGGAAAAGCAGAGACAGAGTTGAACGCACCGTCTGATGTGGCCCAGGCTCGGCTTCTTGGCCATCTGGCTTGGCCATGCCTTAGCCGCTACAACCTGGGGGTGGCCTTCGCGCACTAACAGCGGCCCTCTGGCTCGAAAGACTGAGCAACCCCTTTTCCCCTTTTCTTGCTCGATCCACCTGCATCCTTGCACGCAAGTCATCGTAGGAATTTCATTTCTGAAACTTGCAGTCTGCAGGCCCGCTGATGTTGGACTACTACATCTATGCAGATTTCACGGAGAATCCTGGAAACCAGTGTTACGTGATTCCTGGCGAAGCTTGCCGAGCTTGCTTGAACGATGCTTGCCAGACTTAGTCTGTTGGAAGTTTTTTTGGGGGTGCATGCGCCGCGCGGAGTACATACATCGCCCATCACGTCCCATTACCCAGGTGTGTCAAAACCCCGAACCGCCGGCCAGCGCCTACTGGAGCCTTGGCAGCCTAGTCTGTTGCTTGCGGCTTATACAAGCGGCTGAGCGGTTGAGCTGAGGATGCCAGAGGGAGCCCTTTTTGATGGGCGGCCCTGCGTATCGGATGCTTCCATTTGTGGACAGAAGGGCTTCGCAGATGCCGTCAAAGCCTTTGGGCACCAGACAGCAACTCGGAAGATGTCCACAATCCCGTTTTTAATCCTAGCAGAGTAGGAGCAGTGTGGCAGTAGTCGTCGTCGTAACAGAGTTGATAATTCTGCAGTGAGGTCTCGGTCACCTGGAGACAAATCGAGGAGAAGGTGGCCTGGGGAGATTTGAGCAAAAACGTGTTTGACATCCTCTTAGCGTAGTTCGTTTGCTTTCTGCTAGATTATATAAGTTGCTTTGCCATGCCGTCGTCAAGATCTGTCAGCGCTTTAGTGCGCGCATGATCAGCTTGACGGCATCTTTTGCGAATCCAGAAGCAAATGCCACCTGTGGCGATACGTGCCGGGCGGTTTTTAAGCGTTTCACACGTGATCATTGGTAGGCACTGAGCCTTCGGGGATGCAGCACCT